ACCACACAGCAGCAACAACAACCACACACAGCAACAACAACAACCACGCACAGCAACAAAACAACCACACACAGCATCAACAACAACCACACACAGCAACAACAACAACCACACACAGCAACAACAACAACCACACACAGCAACAACAACAACCACACACAGCAACAACAACAACCACACACAGCAACAACAACAAACCACGCACAGCAACAACAACAAACCACACAGCATCAACAACAACCACACACAACAACAACTACATCCACACACAACAACAACTACAACCACACACAACAACAACCACACACAACAACAACTACAACCACACAACAACAACCACACACAACAACAACCACAACCACACACAGCCAACAACAACCACACACAGCAACAACAACAACCACACACAGCACAACAACAACCACACACAGCAACAACAACAACCACACACAGCAGCAAAAAACCACACACAGCAACAACAACAACCACACACAGCACAACAACCACACACAGCATCAACAACAACCACACACAGCAACAACAACAACCACACACAGCAGCAAAAACCACACACAGCAACAACAACAACACACACAGCAACAACAACCACACACAGCATCAACAACAACCACACAGCATCACAACAACCACACACAGCAACAACAACAACCACACACAGCAACAACAACCACACACAGCAACAACAACAACCACACACAGCAAACAACAACAACCACACAGCATCAACAACAACCACACACAGCATCAACAACAACCACACACAGCAAACAACAACAACCACACACAGCAACAACAACCACACACAGCAACAACAACAACCACACACAGCAACAACAACCACACACAGCAACAACAACAACCACACACAGCAACAACAACAACCACACACAGCAGCAACAACAACCACACACAGCATCAAACAACAACCACACACAGCAACAACAACAACCACACACAGCAACAACAACAACCACACACAGCAACAACACAACCAACACACAACACAGCAACAACAAAACACCACCACACAGCAACAACAACAAACCACACACAGCAACAACAACAACCACACACAGCAACAACAACAACCACACACAGCAACAACAACAACCACACACAGCATCAACAACAACCACACACAGCAACAACAACAACCACACACAGCAACAACAACAACCACACACAGCAACAACAACAACCACACACAGCAACAACAACAACCACACACAGCAACAACAACAACCACACACAGCAACAACAACAACCACAACAGCAACAACAACAAACCACACACAGCATCAACAACAACCACCACACACGCAACAACAACAACCACACACAGCAACAGCAACAACCACACACAGAACAACCCCCAAACAACCACCAAGCAACAACAACAACCCAACACACAGCACAGCAACCATGCAACAACCACCACACACAGCAACAACAACATTCGTCACTAAGCGGTGGTGACATCACCACGGTGCTTGTGCCAGGCTAGGTGCACTCTGAGGCCACGTGAAGTGCCGGAGGCTAGCTGACGGAAGATCTCGAGATAAACCAGGTGCCATGGGTTGACTGGACTGAGATGACTGTGCCAACTTGCTGCATTTCAGCTACCTGGCGCTCTGCTCATTGGCATGAACGTTGTTGTTGTTGTTGGAGGGCGACTGCCTGCCACTACCGAGGTTGCGTCCTTCACGAGCCTCCTCCACAGAGGTCGATCTTGACACCGCTGGTACCGGTCTTCGGCAGCTCCAAATCCTCCCGTATCGCATCGGCTCCATCCCTTCTCCAGCCCGTGTCGTGTTCGTTTAGCCCCCCTCTATCCGGCCAAACAGAAGCTGCTTGGGCATGCGGTGGCTGGGCATGCAGGCCACATGACCCAGCCAATGCAGCCTTAGTCATACTCCAATAACAAAACGAAACATGACAGCGTGCGTGTCGACCGACTACAGAGAGGCCCTCGCGGTGTCAGGAGCGACTGGTTGCGCTATGATTAGGAACACGGTGTGGCATGCCCGGTTGAGATAGTGCCCTCTAGAAGTCGATTAGTCCAGATAAGGTGCTGACGGTGACGAATCAACATCCAAATTAGAAGTTACCCAATTACCACAAATACAGCCGTGCAGCAGCCTGTAACCACGTGTCCATACGAGGTTTTTGGGTTAGATCGCACAAATATATGAATGTGTCATTAAGCCCACCGCCACCCGACACAGCCAATTGGTAAGGTTTGTCACGTAAACAGAACGTGCCAATTTGTTACTCGTACAGCACGCCGGTTGTGTGTTGGAGAGTAAACCCACAACATTTACAATTCGAGTGCCGTAACGTTTCACCTGTCTGTGTTCATGGCGGTTACCCCATTCAAGGACTGTCCAGGCTCAACCGTGCTTAGCTTCCGAGATCTGACAAGATCGGCCATACCGTCATCTGGGTTGCTTTGTACGATCATTTATGTCCCACGAAGAAGGGTCATAGGCCAAAACATCACTTATTATACATTTCTTTCGTTTAAGGCCACGGTGTTATTAACAAGTGCTTTTTATTTGATTATCTGTGCTTGTGCACCACGGCCAATGCGGTATCACCAGATAATTTGATATACGATCATTTAAATTACAAAAATTTACCATCAGGGTCTCGGGCTGTGTTATGCTGATATACGAAAAAGAGACACTAACCCCATCCATCTGCGACCTCACCTCCCTTCTGAATTTAACTTTAGACTTCAGCTCTGGTGTGTTAGGCAGTCCCCCCTTCCCCTACACCACAGAGGTCATTACCCTCGCCGATGGATCTGCATCTACCAGTTTATCTCGTCGGGTTCGGGTGAGAGTTAGGATCGGGGTTAAAGTTTTGTAATCGCCAGGGCCAGGACCAATTGCAATTGTCCTGCAGATTGGCATGGAGAGAGGAATTGCACCGTTTGAGTTCAACGTACTCGCATTCTGGAACCGTCAGAGCCGAGAGGGCCCCAGGTTTTTAAGCGAAATTGCGCATTTTCACCGGACGTCACCGTTTTCCGCTGCCAATCATCGGTTCGCGTGAAAACCTCCACTTGATCACACCGTGGCTGCCCAGCTCCGCACCCACGGATCTCGGTGACGCCACCGCTTTTGCTTTCCTTTTTCTTCTTCCCCTAACTGCCCCCCCCCCCCTTCGCTCGAATCCTTGGCGCAAATATCGCCGCTAATGCGGTAGCCCCCACGGCGCTCGCGATTGCAGATTTCGGGCGCCTCGTGTCAGGTTTTTCGCGCACAGCTTGTGTGAGTTACTTCGAATTTACGCAAAAGTTTTGGCGCGCGGTAACCGCGGGCGACGCCGTGCGCTCGCGATGTTTCCGATGCGTTTTTCACCGCGATTATTGCCTCCTGACATGCAGGCCGACCGACCGGCCGGCCGGCCCGAAACCGCCCGCCGCCTTCCCCAGCCCGCCCCCTTCGAGCGCCAAACGCAAAGCGACCCGGCTCATCAGGCCGCCTCTCCGCTGGACTGATGCGATGTGGCAGAAAGTAACATAGCGGGTATTAAATCACTAACATGCATTTCCCAGATCACAGGCGTAGGTTTTCCAGTAAACTTCCTCAATTTTCCAATTTCCATACACGGTTTTCCTTTTCATTTATTCATTCTCTTTTTTTGGTTGTTGCTGCTGCTGCACGGGGAGATTTCGCTCTCAGCATTACTGTAATTCTCAAATCCCTCAGAGGGTTCTATATTTCTGCCCAGCCATTCCAGCTCAACGTCACTCCCCCCCCCCCCCCCACCCCTCTGCTCACTTTGAATCCGAACGCTGCCCACGATGCGGCAGGAGCGCTGGGCCACTGGCGCCCAGCGCCGGGAGACGAAGGCCATCGGCGATGCCGGGAGAATCGTCGTGCTCCCCTCCACCGCGGGCTCGCTGTCCCGGTATCGGGTACCGCCCCACTGCAGTGATGCGACAGCGGGACTTTGTTTATTACCAGATATTCTCCGGGTCGCTGGTGAGACTTGATTTTTGGCACCCGGTTCCATAGCGAGATGAAGTATATTGGATGTGGTATGCCGGGGTGTGGATATATTTCCTTGATTGCTGACCCAGACAAACTCGACTGAAATGAAGCCGCGGGTATCGCCCCAATGAAAATATGCTGACGTGTTTTTTACTTACATTTTATTTTAGAAGCATATTCCAGTTGTGCTCCCATCATACTCCCATCGGATCCAGTCAGACTTCTGCCGTGGCTAGCAGAGCATGACCCTGTGTCAAAGAATTGCCCTGGAAGATGATGCTGTAGAACTAGTATATGGTACTTCTGAAGTGACTTTAATGCCTCCTCTCCCACACCAGAGCCACACATTGTGATGCCCTGCAGAGAGTGACCAGCGGTTGTAATGCCGCTATGGTTTTATTGAGAATTTCTATTTCGATATTAAATTCCTACCATCTCTCCATTTGCACCTGCACCCAAAACCCAGAAGCTTCGTGACCACAGTGACATAGACATAAAAATAATAATATTTGGCACTTTGTCAATCCCCTGCCAGGCTAGCGCCTCCCCACCCAGTGCAAGTCATGTTTGACCATACTTCACCACACCGGTCAATGCAGGTTTTATGAAAGTGGGTGATGGTGGGGGTGGTGGGGGGGTGGAGAGGAGGCCCAGGGATTCGTTCAGATATCACCCAGCCACTGGCGACAGCCGCGGCTGGGGATCGAACTCGGACCGCCGGGATGGGTTTGCAGTGGCCTTAGCCACTTGTACCACTCACCGCTTACCTGGTCTCTGTCTGCTTTACGTTCCTGATCTGTTATTAAACGTCCACAACAGCTGGGTTCACAATGCGGGGTGACAACCACTACATTGCACAGACATGTCCCTGCCTCAAACACCTATGACAGTCTCCTAACAGCAGTGTTATTGAGCCGGGATGATTAATCATTGGCGTCGATTAATCGACTAAAGGATCGTAATCGACTGTGTTTTTAGTGATCGATTACCCGGCCTCCTTTCAACACGGCGGTTGTCCCACCATCCTGAAGGTGGGAAACCCCCCCGCCCTCACAAGCCACGCCCAGCGTGACACACGGCTGATGACATCACCAAGCCCCGCCCATCACCTCCCCGGCCAGTGGCACACATGGCAGCAGAGGTGCGTTGATTCTGTATTGTTGTTCGATTTGTCGAGTCGTGGAACTGGGAAGCGAGCGATTCGTCGCTTCACTTAAATAACATCGCAGCCCAGCGCAGCTATGGTGGGTAGCGGTTGACAAACGCAAGCTGAAAACACTCAACCACCCTTGTAATTACCCTCTTAAGTTATTCGTGAATAAATATTAAGTATGCCCTTTATTTATTCAGGAACGCCTCACTCGAGCATTAAGGACTCTATTTCCAGAGGGGGTCCTACATTGGGATGCTTGGCCGAATTCCATGACCCAGCTGTCTTGACTCGCGAGAGGAGACCGGAGATCCAGGAAAATACCCCACGCGTACGAGGAGGTGGACCCGCCCTACACCGTGGTAGGTGACGCTGCACGTGATGCACCTTTGGAACAAAATCTATAAACGACAAGAAACCCCCATCACCTACGCATGTATGTCGAACTTTGTTCGCGCCGTACGTAGCCAACCACGTTCATCGGAGGTATGGGGCAATGGCATCATCATGGCTGAACAACAGCGCGAGCTGGAAAGCACAAAATTCAAACGAGACGCACATTCTTCACACATTTCTTGCGCGTCGTTAGAAAGTCTTATAATGGTCTGCTCGCCACGAGAGGGCTTCGGGAGAGAGTTGGTGTAGGAGTGCTGTCCCTGCTCCCTTGGGGGAGCGCAGGCCACTGTGGTTTCACTGTAGGAACAGCGGTTTGGTTTGCATGGCCACGGCAGCACCATGCTCATGGTCGTGTGAGTCCTCGACAGTACGACACTTGGAGGAATGCACGGGCCCCGTGATCGCTAAGCGAGCCGCTCAGCACAGAGGAGGTGGCGCTAAGTCTCGTGCCGTGCAGCACAGAGGAGACGTTGCCCGTCAGAGTTCAGCGTCTGAGGGCCCTCATTCACCAGATTAGGACACTAATCCGCACTTCCGATTGGCGCGGGAGGCTAAGTACGGTGGAAAAGAAGTTCAGCATGCGACATTGTGCCCCTTGTGCCACTGACAACGTGGATCGGTTGAAGTCGTCCGTGTGCGGCTTAGGGGCGGCTCTCGGTAAGTCAGGAAACACGCTTCAGCTGAGCGCTCGTGCCACCAACGCATTGCAGTACGACGTGGATTGATTGCAGTGTCTAAATGTGGCCACATCGCAGGATGCTGGACAGAAACAGAGGGCGTATTTGCATTGCAGAGAGAGACTGAGAGAGACAGTCGGTCATAGGCAAGATGCCTTGAACACGAATGTCTGGCGGTAAGCGAGTTCCAGCCAAACCGAAGGAGGGCAGAGGAGATTTAACAACCTCTCACCGAGTGGAGATTGACTGAGAGTTTTGATGGAAGGCATTGATTGCTGTAGCTGAGTGTGCATGCAAGAGAGTAGAGTGAGGAGAGAGGTAAGAGGGGAGTAGAGTGAGATGAGAAGAGAAGAGAGAGGTAGGAGAGTGCGTGGAGGGGAGTAGAGTGAGATGAGAGGGAGAGGTAGGAGAGTGCGTGGAGGGGAGTAGAGTGGTATGAGAGGGGAGAGGTAGGAGAGTGCATGGAGGGGAGTAGAGTGAGATGAGAGGGGAGAGGTAGGAGAGTGTGTGGAGGGGAGTATAGTGAGATGAGAGGTAGGAGAGTGTGTGGAGGGGAGTAGAGTGAGATGAGAGGGAGAGGTAGGAGAGTGCGTGGAGGGGAGTAGAGTGAGATGAGAGGTAGGAGAGTGTGTGGAGGGGAGTAGAGTGAGATGAGAGGTAGGAGAGTGCGTGCAGGGGAGTAGAGTGAGATGAGAGGGGAGAGGTAGGAGAGTGCGTGGAGGGGAGTAGAGTGGTATGAGAGGGGAGAGGTAGGAGAGTGCGTGGAGGGGAGTAGAGTGAATGAGAGGGGAGAGGTAGGAGAGTGCGTGGAGGGGAGTAGAGTGAGATGAGAGGGGAGAGGCAGGGGAGTGCGTGGAGGGGAGTAGAGTGAGATGAGAAGGGAGAGGTAGGAGAGTGCGTGGTGGGGAGTAGAGTGAGATGAGAGGGGATAGATAGGAGAGTGCGTGGAGGGGAGTAGAGTGGGATGAGAAGGGAGAGGTAGGAGAGTGCGTGGAGGGGAGTAGAGTGGGATGAGAGGTAGGAGAGTGCATGCAGTGGAGTAGAGTGAGATGAGAGGGGAGAGGTAGGAGAGTGCGTGGAGGGGAGTAGAGTGAGATGAGAGGGGAGAGGTAGGAGAGTGCGTGGTGGGGAGTAGAGTGAGATGAGAGGGGCGAGATAGGAGAGTGCGTGGTGGGGAGTAGAGTGGGATGAGAGGTAGGAGAGTGCGTGGAGGGAGTAGAGTGGGATGAAAGGGGAGAGGTAGGAGCGTGTGTGGAGGGGAGTAGGAGTGAGATAAGATGGAGAGGTAGGAGAGTGCGTGGAGGGAGTAGAGAGTGTGATGAGAGGTAGAAGCGTGTTGGAGGGGAGTAGAGAGTGTGATGAGAGGGGAGGGGTAAGTAGGGGCGAGTACAGAGAGAGCACCTTCTGCAGCTCCCCTACTGCGGGCGGTGTGAGCCTTGCGAGGTGGAGTGAGGGGGTTGAGGTGAGGAGAGGGGGGGCCACGCGAGGTGGGAGTGAGGGGGGTTGAGGTGAGGAGAGGGGGGGCCACGCGAGGTGGAGTGAGGGGGGTTGAGGTGAGGAGAGGGGGGGGCATGCGAGGTGGAGTGAGGGGGTTGAGGTGAGGAGAGGGGGGGCCACGCGAGGTGGAGTGAGGGGGGTTGAGGTGAGGAGAGGGGGGGCCACGCGAGGTGGAGTGAGGGGGGTTGAGGTGAGGAGAGGGGGGGGCATGCGAGGTGGAGTGAGGGGGGTTGAGGTGAGTAGAGGGGGAGCCTTTCGAGGTGGAGTGAGGGGGGTTGAGGTGAGTAGGGGGGGCCACGCGAGGTGGAGTGAGGGGGGTTGAGGTGAGTAGAGGGGGGGCCTTGCGAGGTGGAGTGAGGGGGGTTGAGGTGAGTAGAGGGGGAGCCATGCGAGGTGGAGTGAGGGGGGTTGAGGTGAGTAGAGGGGGAGTCATGCGAGGTGGAGTGAGGGGGGTTGAGGTGAGGAGAGGGGGAGCCATGCGAGGTGGAGTGAGGGGGGTTGAGGTGAGTAGAGGGAGGAGTCATGCGAGGTGGAGTGAGGGGGGTTGAGATGAGTAGAGGGGGAGCCATGCGAGGTGGAGTGAGGGGGGTTGAGGTGAGTAGAGGGGGAGTCATGCGAGGTGGAGTGAGGGGGGTTGAGGTGAGGAGAGGGGGGGCCATGCGAGGTGGCGTGAGGGGGGTTGAGGTGAGTAGAGGGGGGGCCATGGAGGTGGAGTGAGGGGGTTGAGGTGAGTAGAAGGGGGAGCACGCGAGGTGGAGTGAGGGGGGTTGAGTGCGTAGGGGGGAGCCATGCGAGGTGGAGTGAGGGGGGTTGAGGTGAGGAGAGGAGAAGGGGGGGGCATGCGAGGTGGAGTGAGGGGGGTTGAGGTGAGTAGAGGGGGGGCACATGCGAGGTGGAGAGTGAGGGGGGTTGAGGTGAGGAGAGGGGGGGGGCATGCGAGGTGGAGTGAGGGTGGTGAGGTGAGTAGAGGGGGGGCCATGCGAGGTGGAGTGAGGGGGGTTGAGGTGATAGAGGGGGGCCATGCGAGGTGGAGTGAGGGGGGTTCAGGTGAGTAGAGGGGGGGGCCATGCGAGGCGGAGTGAGGGGGGTTGAGGTGAGTAGAGGGGGGGCCATGCGAGGCGGAGTTAGTGGGGGGTTGAGGTGAGTAGAGGGGGGCCATGCGAGGTGGAGTGAGGGGGGGTTGAGGTGAGTAGAGGGGGGGGGACATGCGAGGTGGATTGAGGGGGGTTGAGGTGAGTAGAGGGGGAGCCATGCGAGGCGGAGTGAGGGGGTTGAGGTGTAGAAGGGGGGGCCATGCCGAGGTGGATTGAGGGGGGTTGAGGTGAGTAGAGGGGGGGCCATGCGAGGTGGAGTGAGGGGGGTTGAGGTGAGTAGAGGGGGGCCTTGCGAGGTGGAGGGGGGTTGATGTGAATAGAGGGGGGGCCATGCGAGGTGGAGTTGAGGGGGGTTGAGGTGAGTAGAGGGGTGGCCACGCGAGGTGGAGTGAGGGTGGTTGAGGTGAGGAGAGGGGGGGCCATGCGAGGTGGGTGAGGGGGTTGAGGTGAGTAGAGGGGGGCCTTGCGAGTTGGAGTGAGGGGGTTGAGGTGAGTAGAGGGGGAGCCATGCGAGGTGGAGTGAGGGGGGTTGAGGTGAGTAGAGGGGGGGCCATGCGAGGTGGAGTGAGGGGGGTTGAGGTGAGTAGAGGGGGGGCCACGCGCGGTAGAGTGAGGGGGGTTGAGGTGAGTAGAGGGGGAGCCACGCGAGGTGGAGTGAGGGGGTTGAGGTGAGTAGGGGGGGAGCCATGCGAGGTGAGTGAGGGGGTTGAGGTGAGAGGGGGGGGCTTGCGAGGTGGAGTGAGGGGGTTGAGGTGAGTAGAGGGGGGCCATGCGAGGTGGAGTGAGGGGGGTTGAGGTGAGAGAGGGGGGGGCCATGCGAGGTGGAGTGAGGGGGTTGAGGTGAGGATAGAGGGGGGCCATGCGAGGTGGAGTGATGGGGGGTTGAGGTGAGGGGGGGGCCACGAGGTGGAGTGAGGGGGGTTTAGGTGAGGAAGGGGGGGCCATGCGAGGTGGAGTGAGGGGGGTTGAGGTGAGTAGAGGGGGGGCCTTGCGATTGGAGTGAGGGGGGTTGAGGTGAGTAGGGGGAGCCATGCGAGGTGGAGTGAGGGGGGTTGAGGTGAGTAGAGGGGGGCCATGCGAGGTGTGAGGGGGGTTGAGGTGAGGAGAGGGGGAGCCACGCGAGGTGGAGTGAGGGGGTTGAGGTGAGTAGGGGAGCCATGCGAGGTGGAGTGAGGGGGGTTGAGGTGAGTAGAGGGGGGGCTTGCGAGGTGGAGTGAGGGGGTTGAGGTGAGTAGAGGGGGGCCATGCGAGGTGGAGTGAGGGGGGTTGAGGTGGGAGAGGGGGCCACGCGAGGTGGAGTGAGGGGGGTTGAGGTGAGTAGAGGGGGCTTGCGAGGTGGAGTGGGGTTGAGGTGAGTAGAGGGGGGGCCATGCGAGGTGGAGTGAGGGTGAGGTTGAGAGAGGGGAGCCACGCGAGGTGGAGTGAGGGGGGTTGAGGTAGGGGGGGGCTTGCGAGGTGGATGAGGGGTTGAGGTGAGTAGAGGGGGGGGCTGCGAGGTGGAGTGAGGGGTTGAGTGAGTAGGGGGAGCCATGCGAGGTGGAGTGAGGGGGGTTGAGGTGAGTAGAGGGGGGCCATGCTGGAGTGAGGGGGGTTGAGGTGATTAGAGGGGGGGCCATGCGAGGTGGACGTGAGGGGGGTTGATGGTGAGGAGAGGGGCGGGGCCATGCGAGGTGGAGTGAGGGGGGGGCTTTGAGGTGC